TTGTAAATTTATATGTAGTTTTTAATTTGACTTATTAACTAGTATTATATTTTTTATTTATAATTCAAGCACACATTTATTTAATTCGAACATTTAACTATTTCAAATAAAGCTACTTTGATAGACACCCCGTACAAGTTTTCGGACTTCTGGGGTCTTTTAATTTATTTCTTGAGTTGGAATTTGATTATTTTGTATTGATTTTAAATATAAATATTCTATATGATGAATATATTTATTATTTTTTAAATGATGTAAATTTAAAAAAAACTGTAAAAACAAATGAAAATATACACCGTTGCTTTTTTTATTATTAATTAACTACTTTATTTATGCTGTCCTAGAATTGAAAAAATGCAGTCACTGCAGAACTGAAACGGTGTACATTTATTAAACAAATTATGTCTGGCAGTTTGTAAATATTTGTATTAATTAGGTTACTATATTATTGTTATACATAAGGAATGTAAAATTTTTTGTATGACTTAGAGAAATAAAGATTATTATTATTATTATTATTATACTCTGTTATGTTTCTTCATTACCCACAAATATCTTTAATAAAAGGGCTACCAAAAGTAATTGTAGTAAAATAATATTTAATTAATAAATTTTGTAATTATTACAAAAAGGAAAGAATATAATTTATAAGTAATGTAATAAAATATACTAATCAGAGGACAATATGAATTTGGGAATGTTGCTTTCTTGCTTAAGACAGAATAATAACCCATCTTCGGCTTAAATTTTCATTTAAATTGTCTTTATATAGAAAAATATACAAATAATCTAAGCATATAATGTGAATTAAGCTCGTTTTGAAAGTTAAATCAGAAATATTCTACGCTACTATAAACTTCTCATCAAAACAACAGCGAAACGCCGATGGCTGCTTCTCAAAAGCTTATTTTTGGTTGCTCAGCGCTCAAGTAATTATTTCCCGTGGGGAGTTATTATTTTCTCTAAGGAAGCAATTTGCATTGGTTCCGTGAAACAGGTACAAGTTTTCGTTAAAGTATGGGTAATTATTATTCTCAAGAAACATCGCGGTCTCGAAAAAAAATAATATAAAGCTGATACATAAAATAAAGGCAGCCATGCATGCTTCCTTATAACGAGAATATATGAAAGTTTGTTTAAATCACCACACACAGTTTAGATAGCTACGGAACTAGTTCCACATAATTAATGTTTATGCTAATTTGTGTTGTCTTAGTTTTCGCAAATCTATTTGGAATATAGCATTGTGTAATTAATTTTTTCTTACTTTTTTTCTCACCGCATATTTACTTTTTCTTTGCGTTTTATATTAAATTAAAAAAAAACTATGGTTTAATTCAATATAAGATATTTTTTTGTAAATTTGTAAAATCATTTTTCTTTTCAAAAATGTATAGTGAGTGGCAAAAATGAGGAAACTTCTCTATTTATCAGAACTCCATATTTTTTTGTAGGCTGCCTTATTTGCCTTGAACGAAAAGTGATTAAATTTTCAGGCTTATCTCTTTAATATTTCAATACTTCATTAGTCGTTAACTGACACAGTACAATTCAGTTTTCGCGAATTTGCTATCACAATTTAACCATATAGTCCAAGAGCCGGGTGCAAAAACATGCAAGAGTTTTCTGAAGGTTCAAATCTTCAAATTCGATTGAATTTTAGTGTTAAAATGCAAAAGTACAGACAGCAGTTCCAGTTTCGGGTCACCTCGCCCTGAGAAGTGCGCAAAGGTGTAATTTTAATTAATCTTCAAACTGTTTTCGGAATGCTAAAAATTTGCAAATAACATTTGATAGCAATGTAAAATAAAAATATAACACTCAGACAGAGCAGTATGGGGACACAAAGCGTCACCGCTGCTATCTCAAAAGCGCTGTGAAAGAAATATTGTTACTTAAAGTGATTTCTGAAGAAACTTTGCAAGGTAATAGTGAAAACACTATATTTATTAATAAAAATAATCAGACTCGTCGATAATAGAACCCCGTCAGTCAGCAGCTGATGGAAGTGAGGATAGTGACAGGGCGCGTATATGCTAAAAGGAGGATTCAGTTGGAGTCCTATATTAAGATTATTTCAGAGATGAAACTATTTCACACATCACTGGAAACATTATTATTTAAAAGGAAAATAAACTTCCTCAGCAATCTACTGATTTTAAATTAAATACTCCCATAGAAATATCTTATAAAAATATACACGTACATATTTGGCATTCTATAAATTTTATAATACTTGGTCATTTAATATATTAAATAAAAGTTTAAATATACTAAGTTTAGTTTTAAAAATAATTGTTACATTTGGCTATCTTTTAAAATTGTTGCTTTATTATTCTTATATTTCTACAGTTTGTCGTTTAATCAGAAAAGTAAAGTGAGAAATAAAATAAGCACTAACTGTTTTTATAGAGCGGGTATACGGGATTGCTAGAATTTTAATCAGAGGGAGTAAAACAAGCTCTAGTTAGTAAACCGCTGTTTTTTATAGCATTATAAAGCACTAACTTGATTAAAAACACAAAGTTACATTGTAAGCATAAATTAACTAACTGATGGAAAGAAAATTGTGTAATTTTTTCTTTAATACTTTCATGTACTGACATTTTGAGTATCTGATTTTTTAGATTAATGTCCCTGATAGCCAATTCCTACCAGATCGACTATACAAGAAGTTATTGCTGTCTGAAGCGAAAGAACTCGTTATAAAGAACTGCTAAACACAGACAATCACGAGCGGACTGAAGAAAATTACGTTAATAATAATAATAATAGTAATAGTAATAATGGGGTGCATGTCGTCACCTCCTCGTGGTGCACCCTGGAAACGAGTAATACACGGCCAACGACGACGGCTTCGGCCACACCGGTTAGAAGGAATAGCATTCCTTATAGCTGAGATCAATTGCTTTCGACAAATCAAAAAAAGCCTCGGATGTCGCAGAAGTGAGGGCTTCTACTGCGACGGGTCACGATAGCCCTGCGCGAGTAATGGTGGAGCAAGCGGCACCATCTCGTTTAAGGATTCCGCAAGGCCCGCCTGGAACAAACCCAACGGAGTTAAGCTTGCAGATCGAACCAAGATCTGCCGCAGAACAACCCGGAACATCAACAGGGCGTATGCGATGGACAAAAGAAAAGAATATTCAACTAATGCGCGCATACTTCAAAGCAACTGATATGGAGAAGGACAAGACATTGTATCGTAAACGGCTATTCAGCATATGGAAAGAAATGGAACCAGATTCTAAAACGGAACAAAATTTGGCTAGCCAGGTGAATTCAATAATCAGAAGAAAAGCATTGTCCGAAGCAGAGATTGCGACTGTGAAGGAGAAAGTTCTACTTGAAACCACTACAGACATACACCATGATGAAGCTCATAGGGAATCAATAGCTGAACAGCAGCGAATCGAGGCTGAAACAGGACAAAGTGATCCAGCATCAATGATAGAAACGATAGAAACAGAAGAAAGGCAGAGTAACATTTCAGCATCAATGATAGAAACTAACGAGCAATATGAAAATACAAAGTTGGTATTCGAATCTATCCTCACACAATACGAGGGAATACCAATATATAACAGTCATTAATTCCCAAAATACAAATGTCAAAGAAAGTAAAAGAGCTAATAAAAATATCAAACGCCTTAATAAGAACCCATGAGGCAGAGTGCAATACCCTACAAGGATTATATGAATTAATATATGTAGCAGCAGCAACAGTAACAGAAATTAGTGGAAAAAAGTTAATTAGCAGATATACAGATCGCAGAGGCACACCTAGAAGACCGGACGCAAAACTACCACCATGGCGAAAGAGACTGGAAAGGAATATAAATTCTATACGAAGAAAGATAGGTATACTCACTTGTTACAGCAGCCCTCCCGGGACCAACAGACCCACCAATAGCGTCAAAAAGAAAGCTGAAAAAATTCTCTCTGAAATTAATCCTCCCATTAATAAAAATAACAGATCAGAATTATGACAGTATATTGACCTATTCAAACAAAAAGTTGCAGTACTTGGAGCCAGGATCAGAAGACACAATGAAAACAACAAAAGGAAACACCAACTGAAGCTCTTCCAAAATAGTCAGCATAAATTTTATAGCACTCTAGACAAAGAAACCATTCAATCTCATTGCCCACCTAATAAAGACGCAATGCATGCATTCTGGAACGAGTTGTGGGGCCGGGAAGTCACACACGAACTTGACTACTGGCTAGAGGAAGAAAAGAGCTTTTTAAACGAAATAATACCTATGAAAGAAATATCTGTTACCGTTAAAGATGTCAAAAATGCACCGAATTGGAAATCCCCCGGACCTGATGGTATTCAAAATTTCTGGCTCAAACACTTCAATGCTACTCACAGTATATTGGCAACAATTTTTAAAGAAATAATGGCAGAACCAGAATCACTACCCAATGAATTGTGTAAAGGAACCACGTTTATGTTACCAAAGAAAGCAAACTCGAAAGACCCTGAAGATTACAGACCCATTACCTGCCTCTCTAATGTATATAAACTAATGACAAAAATAATCTGTACAAAAATCACTGAACATCTGGATAGAAATCATATAATAGCAGTAGAACAGAACGGATGCCGGGAAAGGTCTAGAGGCAGTAAAGCATTACTAATCATAGATAGTGTTATAGGCAAGCAGGCGCAAGATAAACAAAGACACCTATCGATAGCTTGGATAGATTATAAGAAAGCGTACGATTCTGTCCCGCATTCTTGGCTTCTCGAGGTTCTGAAACTATACAAAGTTGATCAACAACTCATCAAACTGCTAAAAATAGCTATGACAAAGTGGAGTACCAAACTAATAGTAAAACATCAAACTGAAAGCTATGAAACAACTGAAATAAAAATAAGACGAGGTATATACCAGGGGGACAGCCTAAGCCCAATATGATTTTATCTAGCGATGAACCCACTCAATATTATGCTTAAGAACAATACATACGGATATAAAATTAATAGCCAAATGAACTACCGGATGTCACACTTGATGTACATGGACGACCTAAAACTATACGCTATTAACGAACATCAGTTACAAAGCATGCTTGAATTAGTCAGTAGATTTAGCGAGAAAATCAAAATGGAATTTGGACTGAACAAATGTGCTGCAGCTCATTACAAAAAAGGGAAATTAAAAGGCACACCGAATATAAAGCTAATGAACGAAGTAGAAATCAACACTCTCAAAGAACCAGCTTACAAATATCTAGGCATGTTGCAGACCGGCCAAATTAAAGACAGAACAATGAGAGATATTACTAAAGAAAAATATTTAAAACGTGTGAAAACAGTTGTCCGAACATACTTGCCTGGAAAAGAAAAAATTATAGCAATTAATAGCTGGGCAGTACCTTTAATTACCTACACATACGGTGTGCTGAAGTGGAGCGATACCGAAGTGAAGGAAATGGATAGAGCTACTCGTAAAATATTAACGAAGAACCGAATGCATCATCCTATTGCATCCACTGCAAGATTATACTTACCTCGAACAAATGGGGGCAGGGGACTTTCTAACCTAGAGGATATTTGCAGAAAACAAGTAATCAGTTTACAAAAATATTTTAACAACAAAGAAACCACTTTACATCGAGCAATAAGAACCGTTGATACAGGATATTCAGTCTTAAACCTAGCTAGAAATGAAATCACTGATAGATCACCACTGAGTGTAGGCGACATAGTGCAAGAATTAAAGGGCAAGGCGTTACACGGAAAATACTTTACTGAATTGGATGCAGATTGTGTAGACAAAAGTAAATCAGTAAAATACCTAACGGAAATTCCACTTACCGGCGAAACTGAAGGGTTTATATGCGCTATTCAAGATCAGGTGATAGCTACAAGATCACACAGAAAGTTTGTTCTGAAAGAAAACATAACGGACAGATGTAGAATGTGTAACCAATTTTCAGAATCCATACAACACATAAGTTCAGGTTGTCCCACGTTAGCACCAACTAGTTATACAGAAAGGCATAATAACATAGCAAAAATAATCCATTTAGAACTGTCACTAATTCTTGGTTTACAGTCTGTGCAGACGAAGTATTTTAATTACACCCCAGAACCTGTAATGGAAAATAGCAGCCATAAACTATATTGGGATACACTTATTTTACCAGATAAAACAGTATTACATAATAAACCCGATATACTCTGGATAAACAAATACAAGAAAGAATGCTTCATAATTGATATAGCCGTACCATTAGACCAGAATCTTCAAAAAACTGCAACAGAAAAAATACAGAAGTATCAAGATCTTGCATATGGATTAAAAAAAGTATACCAGCTCAATAAAGCCATTGTTTTACCTTTTGTAATCTCTGCCAATGGACTTATTCATAAAGATTTTACAAGGAACACGGAATTATTGAAATTAAACCCACAGCTTACCAACGAGTGCTTAAAAGCAGCCATATTGGGAACAGTGAGAATTGTCCGAAAAGTGCTTAATATTTAGAAGACCCTGAACTAGAGCAGTTCTGGTCAAGAAACCAAACCTACCGAGTTAATCGTGAACACAAAAAAAAAAAATAAATCTTTATTGCCCAACAGTAACAAACCAATTATAGGACAATTTTACAATATGTATATAGCTATAAATTAGTAGTAAATTAACCTCTAAATAAACAATAAATGAAAAAAAATAACATTCAATGTAAATTAAATCTTAAAAATTAACAGGAGTAAAAAAGCACTGAAAGGTGAATGATACAATCCATCAGATACCAAGTACAGATGAAAAAAAAGAAAAGAAAAAAACCCAAGCATAAACAAAATATAAGAACAAAACACTATATAAAGAAACAAAAACTCAAATCACATCGCTGAGCAGCATATTATTAGCTAAAGCAATTATGTGACTCTAATTATCAAAGAAAATATCACATTTATCAGATATTACGTTATAATTGCTACACATGACATAAACTGGAGATTTAAGCAACAAATTAGTTCTGGCTCGAGCACAATAAAATGTTCTATGCGATCTAGTTGACATAGAAGGAACCAAATAATCTATATGTGCAACAAGCTCAGAACTATCTATTCCATTATGCAACAGCTTATACAGAAAGACTATTGACTAGCACACCTATTCTCTCAAATCGAATTGCAACTTAAAAGTGTTATTAATTAATGTAGGGAATCCCTTTTCATGAACACCGCTACTTTTATGTAAACAAATTAAAATCCTTCTCTGTCACTCTTTCAATCAACGCTGGCCTGTAACCGCTTAATACAGGGTACTAATCAATCAAGCATATCCAGATTGTAGTTTCTAAATGTATGCTGAGTTACATATTAAAAATGCATTTGTCAGTAAACCGTACAGTTGCAACTAAAAGCGTAAAATTTAAGAGCCCACGACCTGGTTAATATGAACACTAACATGAAGGACAATCAAAATAACTCAAGGTCCTTAATCTACACAATCTTCAGATCGTACATTTAATAATAGAATACTATGTACAGGGGGGTCAAATTGGACGCTTCTTTATATTGACAGAACACCCTTTTTATAGGAGAAGACACCGAAGTGAGGAGGGCGAATCACTGTCAAAACATGATCAGTGAAAACCCTATGAAGATTGGAGACGTTCCGCGTTCGGAGTTATGGCGGGTGGATTTTTTCCAAAATGTGCAATTTTTAACGAAATCGCTGTAACTTTTTTGTTATGGAAAACTTTGTATTTGTTGTGAAAACATTTCCCAAAGCACCTTTTACGTAGAATTCAAGTCGTTTAAGTAATACTTTTTTTAACACGATCAATAATTTAAGAGTTATCAATAAATAAATGATTAACATTGAAACTGTTTCTGTTATCCTATATAAGGGAGCCCAAATCGAATTAGAATGCTACATACGTTTTCTTGTCTTAAATCTAATTCGCTTAAATTTAACTCGCTATTTTCGCTACTTTCCGCCAAGGAATTAGGTGATAACGAGGGAATTGACATGGACAGGAAGTACTTACATGAGTAGTCTTCTCACCATAGCTTCTTTTTTCTTTTTTTCTGACGTTGACCGGGAGATACAGCGAATAGAGCGACCCACTTCGTTGGTCCTAGAAGTGCCGTAGTCTGTCTCTATTTTCTCTCCAGCGGTTCCTCTTCTTGCACGATGCACAAAGTTCTTTTCTTGGAATTAATGCTTGATAGCAAAAGAGATGATTTTTCTCAAAAATTTCTCTTTTCCAATCCTACCGATGACTACGCCACTTTATGTTTTCCAATATTAAAAATTTATTTTTAAAAAATAATTTTAACTCAGAAAACCAAAGATTTATTTACTACTTTTTAGTTTACAATATTTTACTTTTAAATTATTTAATTAACAATAGAAAAAATTGATATGGTGACGGGCAGAGATTCATTCTGCACTGCTGTCGATAGATCAATCCGTTGTTTGAAGTCCGTCTTCGTTATTTATAATTAAAGGGTATCTTGCATCAGCATTATAGAACAATGAAGGCTGGATACATAACTCCCCGCTTAGAGGGTTGAAGATTTTGTAATAATTTTTGGGGCAAAAGTTGTCCCCCACATAAACAAAATTGACGTGTTTTTAGATTTTTTTGGAAAAAAAAGATACCCTGGCCGTTATGCCTTGCGGAACGTTTTCGATGGGCCACCCTGTATAGTTCCCTACACCGATAGGCTGATGAAAACCGTGGTTATCCGACTAGCAGGTGGGTAGCTGCTGAAGACTCCAAAGGTCTCAGAAGTCGTGAGCTACTGTCGAGCAGAGATGCAACAAGTCAGTTTCAAAAAGGCTTGAATATTAAGACATAAGTCATATGTAAAACCAAAAAGATTTAAATCTTAAGTCAATTTCAACATAAAGTTCAAATGAATTAAATCTTTAGTCTTTGGACTTAAATCCTTTTCTTTCAAGAAATTCAATCTCAAGTTATTTCCGTAAAGCATTAAATCAGTATAATACTGTTATACCTCACCGAATTGTCAAATAGAAGGTTTTGAAGTACTGATGAATGACATATCGGCATGTATTGCCAAATAAAATAGCTTTTGGCAGTGTAACTCATCTATAACAAATACTAGAGGCCAAATCCTTGAAGACTGGATAGCTGGAACAGATCAAGTCATACTTAATAAAGAAAGGCAGCCTCTCCTAGAATAAGCAAAAAAACATGAGTGAACTAGAAAACATGAGTGAACACAACACAATTTTGTTTGGAATACTATACCAAAGCAGGTACAACCATCAATAAAGAGTTCGCGGGCTAAAATACAACTACTGCTAAATGGGAACCTTTCTGCAAAAGTCATTTTGCGCTAAGACTAGAAAAAGACAGTGATATACTTATCCCAAAAGAAGTAATGATGATATTCCGAGATATATGTAATTAGAATTTTCCTCACAAAAAACAGCATTTCTGATACTCTCCAGTGCACTGATGGTGCAAGGATGTAGCTGACAAAAGAAAACAATGCAACAGAAACCGAAGAATATGGACAAAATCTAAAGCATCAAACACAGCTACCATAGGACAAAAAACCAAAGCACCGGAAGTGGTAAATTAAAAAAAACAAGAGGCCTGGAACAAACTTTTAAAAGAATCAGAAAAAGATGAGTGGGACCAGGCGTATAAAACTGCCATGTAAAAACTAAATTTCAGACCAAAAGTGTTTCTGACGGGGGAACACTGAACCAAAAGTCGACATAAATATAATGAAAAAGTTCATTAATATAATGAATTAAATCATTAATTTTGAGCCGATGAACGATTTCATTGGCACAATGAAAAGTAATTTATTAACTCTATGAACTTTAAGTTCATTAAATCAATGAACAGTGTTCATTAATTTGAAGAACACATTCATTGGTACAATGAACAGATTTCATTAATACAATGAATTTTATTTCATTGTATTAATGAACCGTTATCATTAATACAATGAAATAATTTCATAACCTATTTAGTTATACATTTAAAAGTCGACACTATTAGTAACTCTTGTTACACCGTATAATCGATGATCAAGATCGCTGTCATTGATATAAAATGTCATTGATAGTCATTTCCCAGCCAAGTACCTGAATAATTCTACTATAAATAGATTTCCATTTGAACAAGCCCTTACCAGCTAAGGTAACAAAATTACTAATAGTGCCGACTTACTTACGAGCACAGTAAATTTTTCCATTAGGGATTATTAATAAAAAACAAGTGCAATAAACTAATAATAATTTATTAAACTCGATGTAGCATATACAAATTAAAAATTAAAAAAATCGAATCGACGAAGAGAATAGTAATGTTATTATTAATTTTAGGGTAAATTATAATAAGAAAACTAATTTACCAGTCGATATCCTGAGGGATTTCTATAAAAAGACCATTTCTTCATTATATTAGCTGTATCCTTAGACTTGATAACGTCTAGACGAATTTGCAACAGGCTTTCCAAGACGCATCAAGTGGGTCCGATGTTAAATTGTCAAATTTGAGGGCTTGAAGCCCATCCAATCCTTCTTCCAGAATCCAACATCTTCTTCCGGTTCTAAAAGACGTATATCAAAATAATTAAAATGCCAAATATTAAAAGAACATTCGAATTTACCATAATCAGTTCCATGCCTCAACTTGTTACTATGTTTTTCTTCTTTTTGTTTTTTATCTTCTGAAACATATTTGGAAACCGCTGTTTTAATGAATACCCACACCAGAAATCTCACACAGCGGAATTTGATTTGACAACACAACAAATTAACCACAATACGATAGGACTTTTATTTAAAATATTTAAAATATTTAAAATATTGAAGAAAACACTTACCGCTCTAATGAAACTAAAGCCCCACTGAATAACTCAACCACACAGACGATATTAAAGTGACAAAGTAACCCATCAACATGACGGACATTTAAGCCCTAATATTTTATTCATGATATTAATAACTGCGTACATTAATATAATGTAGTGTGTTCGTTGTATTAATAACATTGTTCATTGTCACAATGTACAACTCATTAATGAATGATTTAATACATTAATATAATGAATATGTATTTATTAAAGTTTCAGCACTAAAATAAAGAACGCGTTCATTAGGACAATGAACGCGTTCATTATATTAATGAAAATCTTACATTAATTTAATAACAGATTTTCATTATATTGATGAAATTAGATTCATAGTATTAATAAATCAGACATCGATCTATGATTGACAAATCATTATATTGTTACGGATTCCGTGGGTCCACTATTTAAACTCGCAAGCGATCTCTCAGCTTGCTCAAGGTCTTGTTTACTCCAAGATGGGCTCCAGTTTTACCACCGTGAATTTCTTCCAATACCTGGGTAACTTTCTTCCTTGGTACCAGTAACTGAGTTGTTACTGTCCTGTCATCCGCACTTTCCCACGTGCGCTTTAACAATCCATTCTGAATCACCAGTGAATTTCACTGAGCCCAGAGAGCTTTGAAAACC